TGTAGCCCATATGTCCAGCCACCGCATTCCCAATCAGCTTCTGTTCGGCCAGATAGATGGGGCTATATGGGCCCGGCACAGGCTGGAGAAGAGATGGATTGCCGTGGTATAGAATGATGTGGGGCTGATTGGACTTTCCGATGATTGGTACCAGCAGTGTCAAGATCGGCCTCTGTGGAGGAGGCTCGTGAAGGACGCTACTGGGCAGTTGGAGGCAGTCGCCCTCCAGCAACAACGGAAGACAGAGGAGCGACGCTCACAACAAAGAGCGGAGTGCCGTGGGGCTAAAGCACAGATAATTGGAACAGTGGGGAGCACAGTTGGTGCATCTGCCAGTCATCTCAGTCAACCCATGACACCTGGGTCTCTTCTGTGACCTCCCAGCAGGTTTTCAACACTTCACGTGGCCTCAAAGTGGTAAATGGCGGTTATTAATAATAAGTTATGATAATCCATAATAGAGGTTTTTTTTTCGGTTAGATCGCGTAAATATATAAATGTGTCAGTTTAACACGTAGGCTTTCATCATTAGACCTCCTTTGCCAGTACCAAAATATAATAATAGGGTTTTTCCCCTTTTTTCTTGCAACAAAATTGAAACTTTTTTACGAGGATTCATGTCTGCATTAACCACAATACCTGCAGTCAAAATTTAAGCAAAAAACACACTATGATTATATATGCATTGTCCTTGAAACTGATTGGTCCACACCAAGGGATGGCTTTCTTTTGAGCCTCGACCCAATTGGTGCTCGACCAGATGACGCCAAAAGGCGTACAGCTCAAAGATAATGCACTATCAAAGTAATGAGGGCTCGGGGTGAGCATCTACATCATTAGACCTCATTAGTATATTTTGGTACTGGCAAAGGAGGTCTAATGATGTAGATGCTCACCCCGAGCCCTCATTACTTTGATAGTGCATTGTCTTTGAGCTGTACGCCTTTTGGCGTCATCTGGTCGAGCACCAATTGGGTCGAGGCTCAAAAGAAAGCCGTCCCTTGGTGTGGACCAATCAGTTTCAAGGACAATGCATATATTATCATAGTGTGTTTTTTGTTTGCATTTTGACTGAAGGTGTTGTGGTTAATGCAGACATGAATCCTTGTAAAAAGGTTTCAGTTTTGTTGCCAGAAAAAAGGGGAAAACCCCTATTATTATACGTAGGCTTCCGCGACCAATATTATACATAACAAACGTTTTTGGGTTAGATCGCGTTATTTATAAATACTCTTTGGTTATTTTGGGTGTACATGCCATGAGATAAAGGAAACATTGGAGACGGTCACGGTGGGCTGTGCATCTCTCCCTGTAAGACGGATGAAACGGACAACTCGATAACCAGACGGGAGCACCGGGGTGCCGAGATGTTAACTCCCTCGCCTGGTTTACAGGAGGCCGTGGGTTCGATCCCGACCCTGACACTTGCTTTGTATTTGTAGTTTGCATTTCTCTCTCCCTTGGTCATGTGGATTTTTCTCCGGTTCCTCCAGGGTTTCCCTCCACATTTAGAAACATGCCTACAAACTGGTCCGATTTCTGTCTAAGACCCTGCTTCCTTTCACGGGCAAGTTCACCTCAGCTGTACTTAACTCAGCTCACTTGGTTTCTCTAATCAAGGACATCTCACTGTTCCCGGATGATTTGCTTGTCAGTTTTGATGTAGTCTCTCTGTTCACCAATGTACCTGTACTTGACACCATTGCAATCATTGAAGACTTAGTCCAACAAGGACTGAATCCAGATGTACCAACTTTGGTAAGGCACTGTCTTACCAACACATACTTCACCTGGAATGGTCCATTCTACAGACAAAATGAGGGTACCGCAATGGGTTTTCCCTTATCGCCTGTGGTAGCGAATGTTTTCATGGAACATTTTGAGACAGATGCCATCCAGACATCCACCCTACGTCATTCCTTGTGGAAGAGATACGTAAATGACACGTTTGTCATCTGGCCACATGGCCTGCCAGCACTGAACCAATTTCTAAACCACATCAATTCCATACACCCGTCTATCAAATTCACCATGGAAGTGGAAAAGGATGGCAAGCTACCATTCCTGGATGTTTTGATCGAGAAGAGACCTGATGGCTCGTTGGGACATTCGGTCCACAGAAAAGCCACCCACACGGATGCCTATCTAAAGCCTGACTCCCACCACCATCCAACCCAGAAGAATTCCCTCATCAAAGCACTACACCATAGGGCCCGTTGCATCTCCGACCAGCATCACCTAGCCAGTGAGTTGGAGCACGTACACCAAGCCCTCAGGATGAACGGATACTCGGACCATACAATCCACAAAGCTGTCTCCCCAGCCATGCGGAGACAACCTTCTGAGGATCCAACCAAAACCATCACTTTACCGTACATAGCAGGGGTTACCAAAAAGATTTCCAAAATCTTAAACAAACAGAAGATCCAGGTTCGTTTCAATACAATACACAAAATCCGTGATTTAATCCCATCTGTAAAATGTGATTCCTGACATGCAATACCCTGGGGTCTACAAACTGAGCTGTGGTTGCGGCAGCAGTTACACTGGGGAAACGAAACGACGTGTCGGACCGCGTCTGTGAACATAAGGCAGATCTGAAACACGGTAGGCCCAATACCTCTGCTGTTGCCGATCATTGTTTTAACGCTGTGGGCTCACACGAAATTGATTTTTCCAAGACGGAGGTACTCTGCAAACCTACCGGCTACCTTCAGAGATTTGTTCATGAAGCCATCCAGATATATAAACACAGACACAACTTCAACCGAGAGGATGGGTACAAACTGGGCAATCATTGGAATGACGTTATTAACCAGGTAAAGTCTTAACTGACTGTGGTGTTTCCATCCAACCTGCATATGTCAGCTGTTATTTAGACTCTCTGTCTCTCTCTCTATGCCTCTCTCTTAGATTTATCATGCTCACATGTCCGTTGCATTGCACTCTCATGCCTTTGGATTGCACTCTCATGCTCGCATGCCTTTTGGATTGCACTCTCATGCTCACAGGCCCTTTGGATTGCACCCGTTGGGTTGCACTCCCTCGTTGAGGAGGCTGCTCTTCTTCTCCTTCTTTTCTACAGTTACATGCTAATTTCTCACATTAACATCATGCTAATCCCTCACATTAACATAGCCACTTCCGTGCCCTCGTTTAGGAGGCTGCTCTTCTATCTTACAGTTACATGCTAATTTCTCACATTAACATCACTAGCCCTGGCCACTTCTTTATAACCCTTGAGCGACACCAATTTCAAACCTTTTAAAACAGTATGCCTCAGCAGCAGACCATGCTTTCCCACCTGATGATGGACGCTTGTGTTGCGCCCGAAACTTCGTGATTTATTTTATCTTATACCTACGTGACTTTACCGAAAGAACCAAAGAGTATGGATTCCTGCAGTCATGAAAGCTTCAAATCAAGATTGTTTATAAATGTGTCGTAACCCTCCACCACCCGACACGGCCAATCAGTAAAAAAGTGTCACGATGACAAAAGACAAATAGTTCACTATTTTAGCCCACCGGGCTAAAGTAGTGAACTATTTGAGTATGACGTTTCGTTGGTAATTATATCCAGCATCATCCGGCAATTTGCCAGAATAGTTCTATAAAAAACATCCTCCGATAATATATGCATTGTCTTTTTTATATGCATTGTCAAAGACAAAAAAAAGACAATGCATATATTATCGGAGTATGCTTTTTGTTTGCATTCTGACCACAAGTATTGTGGTTAATGCAGACATGATTCCTTGTAAAAGGTTTTAGTTTGGTGTTTTAACATCTCAATACCTGTTTTGTTGCCAGAAAAAAGGGGAAAACCTATTATCATATTTTGGTACTGGCAAAGGAGGTCCTCATCCTTCCTATTAAAACTTTATTTGAGGCTTTCGTGACTGTAGGAATTACTATTTGGTTATTTCGGTAAAGTCACGTAGAAATAAAATAATAGAATACGACGTTTCGATTGCAACACAAGCAATCGTCACCAGGTAGAACTAAATATCAGAGAGGGGGTGACAAAGCACAGACACGGAGACACACAGACACATAAGCAGAGACAACACAGAGACACACAGAGAGAGACACACAACATAGACACACAGAGTCTATGTTGATGACGATTGCTTGTGTTGCGAAAGAAACGTCGTAGTTTTTTATTATTTTATTTGAACCTATCTACGTGACTTTACCGAAAGACCCAAGAATATTAATTCCTGCAGTCACGAAAGCTTTAAGTCAAGATTTAATCATGAGCAGGGACGTCACTCCACATGGGGGGTGGGGGGGGCGCTTCCTCCCCCCTTCTCAGCGTCAACTGACAACCCTCACGTCACAGGCAGAGCCCTCACGTCACGTGATCGCCGTCACGCTGTTGAGACATCGAAGTAAAAAGGACGTCATGATGAACAAGGGATTATAACCTTAAAATGAAATAGGTCTGTGTCATCGCGGAGTTACAAATTGCACACGAAATGATGCAATGAATATCACGTCGTGGTCTGCTTTTCGCTTGCAAGTTTCAGATTTACTGAAATACACCAGTCCTTGGACGGGCAAAAGGCGAGTGCATAATGTACGTTGCCTCAGCAATCCCCCCTTCACTTTGCACAAGAGCGCAGATGCGTGGTCACCACATCTACACCTCTAAATAAGGAACAAAACAGTAAGACTTCTCCACAAATCTGGCTGTCGCCTGATGAAGCTAGTTGTAATTACTAGCGATACCGCGTACTCGGATTGTAAATGTTGTGGCTTGGCTCTCCAACACACCGGTGTGCTGTACTAGTGACGAATTGTCACGTTCTGTTTACGTGACAACCCTTACTAGTTGGCTGTGTCGGGTGGTGGCGTGTTTTAACAACCCAAAAAAACCTCTATGATAGATGATATTCGTCGCGAAAGCCTCCGTGTTAAACTAAGTGATGATAATGTTAGTAGTAGGTGTGTCAATGCACAAATGCGGCGTCACCACGGGCAGATGCGTCATGCGTGGGGGGGGGGCTACGCGCCGCTCCCCCTCGCTCCAGTCGCGTCACGTGACGCGCGCGGCCCGCTCGCTTGTGCCGAGTAGTGGCGGTGGGAACGCTGCCGCGCACCGCGAACTCTCTCACCCAGCTACCGCTGCGCACTCTTCGCCGCAGCTCCCCCTCTGTATGGGCACCGCCAGCTGCAGATCCCTTGGGAGCTGCGCTACACGATGAGGCCAGGGACACCCAGGCCTTGACGGAGCCCACGTTTTGCCTAGCGTGACCGCCTGGGGTCCGCGGCGCCAGAGCCGTTTTGAGGGCCGCGGAGCCGGACCCGACCGCTCTTGTCCACGCCATCTCACCACTCTCCCTTCAACAACCTCTCATCCCCCTCTCATCAACCCCCCACCAGCCCTCTTCCTACCCCTTTACCACCAACCTCGGCAGCACTCGACGGGCCTCCAATGAGCACAAAACAGACGAAGAACGGGGCAGCTCGGGGCCTCCCACCGGCGGTGAGGAAACAAGGTTCGTAAGCCACTCAGAGAGTCGCCGAGCCACACTCAAAGGCTCATTAAACTAGACTCAATCAGAAACTAATTGAGCCAGACTCGGAGACTTTCTGAGTTAGACTCGGTCAGCGACGAGCCAGGCACACCTCAAAATCAACCTCATCCCCCAATCACACCACCACTATCATTTCCACCATCACCATGACACCATCATCACCCCCATCTTTTACGCATTCATACTTGATTTGCATTGTTAGCCCCTAGTGAACGTGCTTCTATTATCCAGCGACAGTGCGCCGAGTACCTTGCACTGCCGCGCAATCTGGCCAACACTGTTTTTGTTTCGCTGCTGTATGACGACGCCTTGAAATGATTTTGGTATTTATACGCTTTATAGACTGAAATAAATGTTATAGAGTTGAATGAGATTTGATTCCGTTGATTTGTAAATGAAATAATCACGCCCTTGGGCAACAAGATTGCGCAATGAATGGTAATACTTTCCTGGGTTCGATTACTGTCCCGAGTGCCTCTCCGCCCTTTCCTAACATCTCATTCCCTCCCTTCTCCCTCACTCCTCTCTCTGCACGCAACCTCGGTATCATATTCAACTTCTCGCTCTCCAATCACATCTCTGCCACTTCCCGCAATTGCCGCTTTCGCCTATAAAATTTACGTAAAAGCAACATCACCCCTCAATAGGAAAAAAAAAATTGGCAGGAGCCTCCTGAAAAATCGTCTTGAGGTTAAGCGAGGCTCTACCGGGTAAACCAGCATAGTAATAATATTTGTACTTTCCGATGGTCATAGGGATTTAATGTACAAGCCATAAGGTCAACATTGAAATTTCGGATGTTAAGTTATTATTTCTCAGTCACTGTGACCACTAGTGGCGGAACACCGCAGTTTGTCGGCAGTCAGTGCTGCTGCTGCGTGATTCCAGATGCCGAGTCGAAGCGGCGCCGCAAGCTGGTCGAAGTGCGTAAGGCGCTGGCGTGCGATCCCGTCGACGTGGCCGCCCTGCGCCGCTCGGCCATCAGCGAGGGTGGCCTTCTCACCAACGAGCTGCGTCGCGACGTGTGGCCCAAACTGCTCTCCATCGACGCCCACGCATTGCCCCTCACGCCAGGTGCCCACCACACATCCACACACCCCACGCACTGTCCCCCACCAACGCTTTGTCCTCACACAAATATCCCCCATACAGTATAGTCTTAACAGACTGGTGGGTAAAGTGCTGTTAGCGATCACCAGACAGTCTCGTCCCTTCACCTGATGAAGGCCGCTTGTGTTGTGGCCGAAACGTCGTGAGAATATTATTGTGTTATTTTATTTTATCAATTTATTATTTTATTCTCATTCTATGTGACTTTACCGAAAGAACCAAAGAAGGTTGTAGATGTATTTACCAGATGGGTTAGACACCGCATTTCTGTCATGAGTGCTACAAGAGACGGAATAAAAGGTTTGATTCAACATTCTGTCAATTTTTTTATGTATTTTGGTTTATTTTTGCATTTGCAATGGCTTTTCATGGTTAATCACAGTTTACCCTCCATTACCTGCTATGAGTCTGCAGCGTCCAAAGATACTATAATAATGCATAACATTTTGTATTTGCGCCATTCTTCTAGTGCTCAGCTATCACGAAGGAAGGTGCTATGTTGCATACCGTCTTCAGTAGCTTCACAGTTAGGTATAATGTTGCTGTGTATATTCTCACGAGTAATTGGCATTGTCGTTTTTTTCAAAATTGGAAGATGTAGACCATGATTGGCACACAATGGCCTACTCTTTTCGAAAGACGTCATGGGATCTCAAATGTCCACTGTGAAACAGATGGCACATAGTAGTATGTTATGGTTAATACACTTGCAGTAATAACCGGCGTGGTCTGCCGGAATCAAACCGCAAACCTCTGCAATCAACAACGAATGTGCTAGTGCTGAGCTGGGTCACTGCCCCAAACTCTTGTGCTTGAGTTATCATTTGTAAAAAAATGTGCTTGCGCTCTTCCTTGCAGGCAAGGACCTACGTGAGAACAACAAGGACTACAACCAGGTCTTGCTGGACGTGCGGAGATCTCTGCGCAGGTTCCCTGCAGGTAAGGATGCGCCACAGCACAAAAACAAAGATCCCCCGTATAGCCTTAACAGACTGTTGGGGCAAGCGCTGTGAGCGAGCACCTTTGAAAGCCAGCATGGCACACGAGGGGTTGGGTGACCAACACCACGCCTGGCCACCTTTTTCTCCCCAGTGGTGATGTTTACACATCATACCAGGTACTCATTTGAGGCTGAGTCGACCTAGCGTAGGCCCAGGACCAATTCAGATAAATGTCACTGATGTTGGCCCTGAGTGGGAATCGAACATGGGTTGCTGGGTTCGTAGCGCAGTGCGCTAACCATTGCACTACCGCCACAACACACAACACCTACCACACGCAACAAACAAAATACAGCCATACACCACATACATAATATACACCACTCAAACAATATACCACATCTACTACACCACACACACACCACATGCAACATACACTACACGAGCAACATACTACACCAGCAAAATATATCACGTGCAACATACAACATACACTCCATACGATACACACATGTAACATGCACCACATACAACACCCAATATATACCATCAACCCCATATGTGCAACATAAAACATACACCTTACACAGCACACAACAACAACAACTGGCATTCGCCACTAAGTGGCGGTGACGTCACCACAGCACCTGTGCCAGGCTATGTGTACGTTGAGGCCACGTGAAGAGTCGAATACCTGCTGGCAGGAGGTCACAGGGCAGATCCAGGTGCCATGGGTCGACTGACTGAGATGACTGGGCCAATGCACCATCTGTGCCCCCTACTGTGCCAACTTTCTGTGTTTTAGCCGCCCGGTGCTCTGCTCGTTGTTGTGACCATCGCTCCTCTGCCCTCCGTTGTTGTTGGAGGGCGACTGCCTCCAACTGCCCAGTAGCGTCCTTCACGAGCCTCCTCCACAGAGGCTGATCTTGACACCACTGGTATCAGTCATCGGCAAGTCCACTCAGCTCCACATCCTATTCTACCACATCACTCCATCTCTTATCTAGCCTGTGCCGCACTCGTTTAGCCCGCTCTATCCAGCTGAACAAAAGCTGTTTAGGCATGCAGTGGCTGGTCATGCAGGCTACGTGATCCAGCCAACACAGTCTTGCCTACCGGAGTAGCTCACCAATGGGACTTTGTCCAGATCTTTCAACGATTTGTGAGCTCCCCACACAATCCATCCTGGTTAAGCCCAGGATGGATTGTAGGCATACCAGCCTGAATGTTTTTAACCGCCGCAGATGTTCCATCCGAGGGGTCCACATTTCGCAAGCTTAGAGAAGGGAGGGAATGACTGTGGCCGAGAATACCTAAAACTTCGTGCGGAGCGACAGGCCAGGTAGCTTCCAGACACCATTGCATAACCGATGAAATGATAATGCCGCTCGACTGATTCGGAGTGAGACCTCTGCTGTCAAACCAGAACCGGTCATAAGCACACTGCCCAGGTATGGGAAACTCTCCACAACTGCTCCATCACCAATGGGAAGCTGAGGGGTGGAGTGTTTGGTGGCATAAAACAACCCAGGCAGGTGCTTAGTTTTGAAGGGGCTGATGGTAAAACCCGACCTCTTAGTGGCACACTCCAGGTTCGGCAGCAGCGCCTCCAACTCCTCCTCTGAGTAAGCAGGAATCACCAGATCATCAGCATACATAACATGGTTAACCAATAGGCAGCCATTCTTCGACCACACCTGGGCATCGATCAGCCGCCCATTGTATCTGTAACAGATGGAAATTCCTCCGGAACAGCCATGGAAAGCTTCTCGAACTATGTGATCAATGATGATGTTAAATAATGTGGGAGCTAGAGGACATCCCTGTCACACCTCAAGGTGAACAGGGAATGGCTCCGACTCCTGGCCTCGAAGCTTTACCCGGGCCTGCCCATCATCATGATGAAGGCCCTTAATGGTTGTGAGCAGAGTCAGGGACTGTGAAAGCACGAAGACCTGCCCACAGTCCTGGCCTGTTGATGGTATCATAGGCCTTGACCAGGTCAATAAAGCAGAGATGTAGGTCTTGTTTGAATTCCCTCCACCTCTGCTGTAGCAGACGGACAGATAATAGGGCATCTGTGCAGGACCGCCCTGGTCTGAAACCACATTGGGGCTCCGCAAGCCTCTCCTCAGCGTGCCTGGCAAGGTGATGTTGAATAATCCTTTCCATGACCTTTCCTGGCACACTGAGAAGAGAGATGCCCCTGTAGTTGCTACAATCTGTGCAGTCCCCCTTCTTAAAGATGGGGACCATCGCGGCATCCGTTAAAAAATCTCTGTCCTGTTGTCCAGACAGTTGTGATGATGTTATGTAGGGCAGTCTGCACACAGATGCCACCCTCCCTCAGCATTTCACTTGTAAGATTCTCTGCCCAGCGCTTTTCCCGGTCTCAGACTTCGGATTGCCCCTCGCACTTCCACCACAAATGGCAACTCAGCCAACCATTCAGAAGGGGTGGCTACTTCTACTAATATTTGAGCTCTAGAATTTTTTCACACACACACTCACAGACTCTTACACCCATACTCGCACACTCTGTCACACACTTACGTAGATTCACACACATTGCAGAACAGAGGGAGAACATACAAACTCCACACAGAAAGGTTTCCAAGTCAGGAATAGAACCCAGGTTTTTGTTGCTGTGAAGCACGAGTGTTACCATTGCGCCACCCTAACCCTGGCTTGCCTGTAGTTCCTTTAGCAACGGGTGTGTGTGTGCCCTGGCTGGTGCAGGTATGCAGGACGACCAGCGAGCCGTGCTGCAAGAGCAGCTCATCGACGTTATTCTGCACGTTCTGCGCCGCAATCCGCAGCTGCACTATTACCAGGGCTACCATGACATCGTGGTCACCTTCCTGCTGGTGGTGGGCGATCACATGGCCACCGCCATGGTGGACAAGCTCTCCACGCACCACTTGCGGTAGCCTCTGCGTCCAGACACAAGCAGCAGGCATCCTCATAGCGAATAATAATAACAGGATCTTTCAATGTCTTGTTCAGAAAAATGAATGGAGGAATGTCTGGTCATGATAATGTTTGGCAGAGTTGCACAGTGGTGGGAACACTTGCGACTTGCAGCCTTGCTTCAACTTCAAGCTTGAGCACTATTCTCCGTATGTTCTCCCCCAGCTCTAAAGTTAAAGCTACAATAATTTAACATGCACAATTTTCATAGAGTAAAGCACAGGATCCCACAGACAAGCAGGAAGGCACCCAGAACCGGTGCCAACAATTGCCCAAGCCACATAGGTTTTGTCTGGGTTTTCTGGTTTCAACCCATAGCTTTTCAAACAAAAAGTGTAACCGGTATGGGATTACACAGAGCAACATCGCCCCCAACTGAAAAAACCTAGTGGGACCCTCCTAAAAAGAGTTGAGACTCAGTGATGATAATAATAACAACCTGACAATATTTATACTAATATCTCAGCATGGTGGGTATGACTGTTGGCGACGCATATTGCTAGGGCATATCTGAACTTCACCGGTACCCCCGTAAGTTTATTCAATTGGAATTGCACCTAGGAATCATCGACCCCCTTCTGGCAGAACAATGCCTGTTTGCAGACCAGGTGCTGAGTGTCCTTGTGTCAGATCGTGATATCTGCCCACAGAGTTGCTCTTTCAAAATATTTGAGATGTGATGCGATGTAAAGCACTTATTGCATGTTAATAGGTGATCTCAGCACCTGTCTAGCAGTCTGTTCTTGTGTCCTTTTATCCACGCGTGGCTCTCAGAGACTTCATGGACCCGACTATGGACAGCACCAAGCACATTCTCAACTACCTGATGCCCATTCTTGAGAGGGTGAACCCAGAGCTGCACGACTTCATGCAAAGGTGTTGACCCACAGCAGTGCCTCTCACCCTGCCCTTGTTTCTGTAGTGCAAGGGCACTGGTGCTGTTTAATGTTTAAATTTGTTTTCTCCTACTTAATCTCCGCAACATTTTGTATTGCTTGACTCCACTTCGATTCATTCATCATTGATTTTTGGGTTATGCCACGTAATAATTTAACCAAATTGTGTCAGTAAGACACAGACTTGTCTTAACTGACAGCGTATAGTGACACCACAGCTTTGGATGCTGCGTCTGTGTGAGCAGCGCAGAGGTGGGCACCATATTTGCGCTGAGTTGGCTCATCACTTGGTACGGCCATGTGCTCTCCGACTTCCGCCACGTCGTGCGGCTCTACGACTTCTTCCTCGCCTGCCACCCACTCATGCCCATCTACTTTGCCGCCGTGGTGAGCGGGCCATGGCCTCTCTCAACATGGACGGCAGGGTGGCGCAGTGGTAACACTCTTGCCTCACACCAAGAAGGACCTGGGTTCGATTCCTGACTTGGGCACCTTGCTGTGTAGAGTTTGTAGTTTCTCCCCCTGTTCTGCATGAATTTCCTTTGGGTTCTGTGGTTTCCTCCCATATCTAAAAAAACATACATTGTAACCAGTATTGATCAGACATCCCAATGATGAAATATTACACTTTGGTTCTTTCGGTAAAGTCACGTAGAAAGAAAGTAAAATAAATAATAGAATACGACGTTTCGATTGCAATACAAGCAACCGTCATCAGGTATAAATGAATGCAAGCCTCGGAGAGAGACACATATACAGAGAGAGAGACAAACACAGACACGGAGAGAGACACATACACAGAGAGAGAGACACAGAGAGAGACACACACAGAGGGAGAGACACACAGAGAGAGAGACACACAGAGAGAGAGACACACATAGGGGAGAGACACAGAGAGAGAGACACACAGAGACACACATAGATGAAATATTACCTGTAAATTATGCAATTGGAATTTCATAGTGCAACAATATTGCCCCCTACTCCAAAAACTTGGCAGGACCCTACTGAAAAGGAGTTGAGGCTCAATGAGCTCAATGAGCCTTTCCTGGGTAAACAAATCACATTGCGAGCATGATAAATTATCAGACTCCACACTGTGACCAGTGGAATAAGCACGTGAATTATAATGATATTTATGATTTTATGTATTTTTTTTGTTATTATTAAGCTCAGTTCCACATTGGGGAGTGCTCAAGGTCACTAAACTAAGGGTATTTGGTGCCTTCCCATGTATGATTCCTCCCGTTTAACTTCTCATTGCTAAAGCCAATATTTACTTAAGTGCTACGCTGAACAAATCTACACTAGTGTGCATCCTTTTTTGTTATCATGCTGCCCTTATCCACATGTAGGGGTGAGCAGTCTAATTGAGCCACTGAACCCTGAGCCCTTAGGCCGTTTACCTGCACCAAAGCTGGGGAGACATGTTGCCTGGCATGCATATTGCCAGCATAACCGCTCTTGCAGTGCTTGCTTTAGAAAGCACTTTCCATGATTAAAATGATTCCAACAGTGAATCTTCTTCCTGTATTAGTCACGGCTCGGCTCAGGCTTGGCTCTGCCTCATGCGAGCTGGCTCAAAGGCGTGATTCACTTGAGCCGGCTATGAGCATGGTCCCAGCCACGTTCAGGATTTCCATGGCGCTGAGCCTGAGCCGAGCCATGGCTGAGCCATTTATATCATCTTTGAAACAAACCGTGCAGCTCAAGCCGGAACTGAGCTTGAATGTTAGAGGTCAAGCCAGAGCTGAGCCGCGACTCAGAATACGGGTGTTTGTGTGCTTGTGTGTGTGTAGATAGTGTTGCACCGAGAAGAGGAGGTGCTGGCGAGTGACTGCGACATGCCCAGTGTACACCACCTGCTCTCACAGATTCCACAAGACCTCCCGTATGAGACTCTGATCTCCCGTGCCGGTGACCTCTTTGTTCAGTTTCCACCATCAGAACTGGCCAAGGAGGCATCACTGCAGTTCCACCAGAGGTAAAGATAATCATTATAAGTTGTTTTTGATAGAACCGCCCTCCTTTACGCTGAAGTGTTTCTGGGCACTTAACACGTAGTAAGATTATGGCATCATGTCTCATACTTTTTGGTTCTTTCGGTAAAGTCACGTAGGTATAAAATAAAATAAATTACGACATTTAGGGCGCAACACAAGCATCCGTCATCAGGTGGGAAAGCATGGTCTGCTGCTGAGGCAGACAAAACAGTTAAAGAGTATGGATTCCTGCAGTCACGAAAGCTTCAAATCAATCATGTCTCATGTCAAAGATTTGATTGAGCACCTCCAGTGACAGCTGTCCTTGTGGGCACAAGGTAATTCACACCTGTCTTGCAAATGGGAACTATTATACCTCTAGGAGGCAATGATTAATTTCTTTGCAATTCCAATTGAGTAATTTTGGGGGTAATCATTCATATTTGGCAAATTTGGATCTTGATGCCAGCACACAATAGCCTACTCATTTTTTATGTCATCAGCGCATCTTTAACTTCCCCCATGAAGCAGATGGCACGTCTTTTATGGGGAACTAGCTGTACTACCCGGCTTCGCCCGGGATTTGGATTCACCACACCCGGCCGCCTTTGTCTCCCCAGTGGCGATGTTCACACACTCCACCAGTTATTCGTTTGAGGCTTAGTCGACCTAGGGGAGGTCCAGGACCGGTTCAAATAATCGTCACCGGTGGTGGCCGTGAGCGGGAATCGAACTCGGGTCGCTGGGTTCGTAGCGCAGCACGCTAACCACTACACTACAATGTGTTACACTTCCACATCCGCGTGTCACATGACAGATTTGACGTGACAGCTCACTTGCCGTGCAAAACATATCTGCATTATTGAGCTCCCCCACCTCTCCCCCCCCAAAAAAGTATATTTTAAAAAATAATTTTTGCGTGGTGTACAGTCTGGAAAGTACCCACATGGCAAATTTTCAGTTTGTTGCATGTCGGGAAGTACGCTAAACATTTTGAACAGACACACATTCACAACTTTTCCTATGAAATATATGTAGATGACAGGACGGCCACCAACTTTGAACTTTGAACCTCTGCAACAAGAACGCCCTTCTACTGTTCCATGCCACTCACGGTGTCAAAGATCCCACTCATCAGTGGCGTCCCTTTCTCAAGAACAGTGTCATACATTTGTAGAGAGATCTCCCTTTGTAAAGAGCTGCTATATTTTATTAGCAACGTTTCACCTCTCACCGTGTCTGTGCCCTCAAGTGAGTGCTGTAGGTGAGACAGCAGCACCCTGCTGATGAGTACTGTGGGGGATCCCAGAATCCTGTGCTGGGCCCTCTTTGTCCCCAAGCTGCTTTACCCGGTCATGGCCACATTCCCGTTTCAAAGTGTGGCATTCCCGATATTGCCTGCTTTTGCCAGTAGCGGCAATTGATGGCGACCTCCACCCGTTTGCCTGGCATGGGCCTTCCCCACCCCTTGCTGTCATCACTTGGCTCCCCTCTCATGAGGATGTGGCTCATCTGCCATTTCCAAATGAAGGCTGCAGTGCAGCATGTGGGTCTGCTGTCTGTAATGGCCTACACGCAGCAGCGCAGATGCAAGGTTCCACAGTTTCAAGTTTAATTTATTAGGTATAGCCCTGTGAGCCATGCGGCTCTTGAGTCGGGTGCAACCGCAACAAACAAAATATGAACAAGAAACATCTTAAAGCGACGACGCGCAACAGAAACATCCTGGATAAACCAGCAAATCTTCCAGAAAAAAACCCACCGTATTACAACTCTGTGTGCAAAAATTCCAGTGTGATACAAGACAAACAACAACCATAAGACAATTTAGATTAAAGTTATCAGGCCAACTCCGCACTTCCGCAAGAAACATGGCTTAACCATATGTTTTTGAAATCACCAAAATAAAGCTATAAAATACAATGTAACAACAGTAGCCATAGGAACTTTTATTCAAATTTAACAATAAACGATATACATAACATGTACGACCAAGCTTGCAGCCATATCTGGCAGCATGACAGACTGTTGGCATGAAGCAGATTGAGGCTCGGCTCTGGGTCGGCCTTTAGCATGGCTCGGCTCAGGCTTCAGCCACTTGATTGCTTCCAAAGATGCACGAGTGGCTCAGCTGTGGCTTGGTTCAGTCTCAGCTCATGGAAATCCTGAGTATGGCTGAGATCATGCTCACAGCTGGCTCAGGTTAAGCCGCTTCACTTAAGCCAGGGCCAAGCCTGAAGCCGAGCCATCAACAAGCATACAGGCCTAAGGGTCATCCGCTCACACAGGACCACTGAGGCTATTAGTGATGGGATCCTGGGTTGGAATCCTGCAATTCAACCAATTTTTAAATCAGACTTCAAATACGTTGTGAGATTGACGGCACAGCTGTGAAGGAGAAAGTACAAAAAATGTGATAAAAGACCTAGATTTTTTAAAGATGTGGTTTAGAGCATTTTCATAGAATGGCAGCTGGGAACACTCCCCAGGTTTTCGGGTAGTTAGTGCAGCTGTTAAGGTCACCATAACACAGCATTGTAATGCTTTTAAATAAAACACCAACCTGGCTACAGATGTAGTTTCCTGCTGATGTTTTAATTACTTAATGGGAGCCATGGAATGTGCTTATAGGGCAGAACCCTTGTGTCTGCTGAAGTATATGACGCTGTTATCATAAATTTCGATTTAAAGCTTTCGTGACTGTAGGGATTCATCTTCTGGGTTCTTTCGGTAAAGTCACGTAGAATGGGAATAAAATAATAAAAATAATAATAGAATAAAATTCTCACGACGTTTCGACCACAACACAAGTAGCCTTCCTCAGGTGAAGAAACAGGACTGTCCGGAAGACAGCGCTTGAGTGAACACTGCCAAGCATGGACAGCTTCTTTTAAACTGTGTGGGAGGAACAGAGCGCCTTGACAAAGGAGTTAACATATAACTTAGCATGTAACTGGAGGATTAGCATGATGTTGGTGTGAGGGATTAGCACCACGGAGAGCGACGAGCTATGTTCAGACGGACGAGGGGAGGGGGGAGAGGAGTTTACATATAAATTTGCATGTAACTGGGGGAAAAGCATAATGTTGGTGTGAGGGATTAGCAGCAGTTTAAATATCAACAGTAAATTAGCATGTAACTGGGGGATTAGCATGATGTTAGTATGACGGATTAACACCACGGAGAACGAGGCGCTTGTGTTCAGACGGACGAGTCCATCTATGTTCGGAACGGAGGAGGGGGGGGAAGAGGAGGAAACAGCCACGGTGCGCTGCTCTGTCCTGTGTTGTGTTTATAACTATGCTAAAAACTGGACTACTATACAATATTATACCTTCCAATCTAAACTACATTGTATAATATATCCATAGACAAATCCCACCCTTGAATTATACAATGCGTTACTATACACTACCCTATACTTTAGACTATAAAATATTAGACTTGTATTACACTATGTATTATTCTATTAACCCTACTGTATACCACACTGCTGTATATTCACTATACAATCACGGTACTATATATTGCCTTATGAATTATGTTAAACATTACACTGTTATACTATTTATTATTATACAAATGCTATAAACTATACTATTGACCGTCGTGTGATAGGTGAAATAATTTTAGTGGGTGATCTAAATTGGAATTGGCTAAACCCGCCGGCCGTGGCCACAAATTTTACAGATGAATTTAAAATGTTTCAATTAATAAATGTCCCCACAAGACCCAACCTAAAAAATCCGGGACAGTCAACTCTGCTTGACATCCTATTGACAAATGCCCCTCACAATTTCGCACTGACTTGTGTTCTGGGTAATAACCTTAGTGATCACTCCTTCATTTTTGGGGTGAGATCATCAGCCAGACCCAAAGCTCCCCCTAAAATTGTTGAGAAGCACTCTTTGAGGCATTTCAGCACTCAGGCATTTACAAATGATGTGCTTCACTAGGATATTGATAAGGTCTGTGATATCCCCAACCTGACTAAGGCTTGGGAGACTTTCAGGTACACGTTTCTCCAAATTCTTAACATACATGCTCCGTTGGTTAGATTTAAAACTAAAGGCAACCGCCCACCATGGTATGATCCTTTGATTACAAAGCTCATGAAAACTAGGGACAAGGTTTGGGCATGTGCTCAGAAAAGTAATTTGGTAAATGACTGGCTAGAATACAGGATTTTAAGGAATAGATGCGTAAAAAAATACGGCATGCAAAAAAATCCCTACTTTTCCTCCACTCTACTGAAATCACATGGAAATGCCAGGATTTTTTTGGAAAACAATCAAATCTATCGAAAAGGCATCCAAAACAGAAAATCTGCCCATTGAGCTTAACCGAAATGGGGAATATTTTTCAGATCCCAAAAAAATAGTTGACAATTTTAACCTTCATTTTTCTGAAGCTGGTAATCTTTTTGATAATGTGTTGGGAGTCACCCCTGCTCCTGCAAATTCCTACACCCCTGTCCATACATTAAACGAATTTAGTTTCCAACCAATCCACGAAAGTAATGTTCTGAAACAACTGTCCTACCTCAAAGAGTCCTCCTCTACCGGAGCATATAGTTTTCCCGTCTTTGCTCTACTAACTGTTGATCACCTAATATACAAACCTATAGCCCATATTTTCAACATGTCCATCATAGAAGCATCAGTTCCTCTAGAATGGAAACATTCCTATGTCCGTCCACTTCACAAAGGGGGCCCTAAAGATGATCCCATTAACTACCAACCTATCTCAATTTTGTCCCCATTGATGAAAATTTTTGAAAAATTATTGAACTACCAAATTAGCAGTTTCCTGTCCACCAACAATCTACTACATCTAAAACAATCTGGGTTCCGAAAAAAATACAGCACCACATCTGCTGCATTAGACTCTGAATCAAATTTACAATAGCCTTGATAATAATCAGTACTGTGCCTGTCTTTTTCTTGACCTGTCCAAAGCTTTTGATACAGTAGACCACAACACCCTGCTTAGTAAACTAAGTTGCCTCGGTTTTTCCGAGAACAGTGCAATGGTTAAAAAATTACCTCTTTTCTTGCACCCAAACTGTATTCACAGATGGTTGGAGGTCAAACAGTGTTAAGATAACAAAAGGGGTTCCACAGGGTTCCATCCTCGGCCCCCTCTTGTTCTCTCTTTATGTCAATGACTTGGGCACTGACCTGGATCATTCCAGGGTAAATCTTTTTGCAGATGACACGATACTGATTACTGCTGGCCGCTCTCCGGATGACGTGATTGCTAAGCTCCAGGGTGATTTCAACAAACGACAACATCAGCTAGTTTCTCTTAAACTAGTCCTGAATAACTCCAAAACCAAGGTGCTATGCTTCTCACCGGGACTAAAGCAGGAAGTTATTTTCCCCAATTACATTCCTTGAATAATTATCAAATAGAGCAAGTCAAGATCTATAAGTATCTTGGGGTCATCCTGGATTCAAAACTTAGTTTGAAGATCACCATGTTTATATTGTTAAAAAGACAAAAATAAAAATTTGGTTTCTGTATCGACACAAGCACTGCTTCACCCCAATGTTCCGTTTGGAATTGATAAAAGCTACCATACTGCCTCTACTTGACTACTGTGACATCGTGTATAAATCAGCCCCAAGTACTGTACTGAAGAAACTTGATTCCATCTATCACTCGGCTTTAAGATTTACATTGAACTGCCCATATAGGACTCACCACTGTGATCTCTACATTGGGTCAAACTTAACATCTCTTAATGTTCGACGGCTTGTGCACCAGATCTTATTTATTCACGATGTACTTACAAAAAATTCCGCAGACTACCTACTGGATCTCCTCTCTGTTTCAAAGAACAAATTTGACCTCAGGTCTTCGCTCATTTACCAGCTTCACATTCCCTATTGCCATACAAAAACTGGAGGTAGGGCCTTTGCTATTGATGCCCCCAGGTTCTGGAATGCTATTGCCAATAAACTGCAACTTGAATCACTACCTATGAGATCTTCACTCAAAACTGCTCTAGAGGAGTTGTACACCCCTAGCTGCCACTGCTATTCAGTGGCCTAAAATGTGGCTCTAGATTTTGGTGTTATAATTTATTTATGTAGTTTATTGTTAAAAATTCGGTCACAGTCCCTATGATCACTGTTACATTGCATTTATGGCTTTTATTTTGGTGATTTCGAAAAGTTTTTTTTTGTTTTGGCCATGTTTTTGTTTATTGTGGTACGGAGTTAGACTGATGGCCTTAATCTTAGTTGTCTTGTGGTTGTTGTTGTTATTTGACTTGCATCCCACTGGCATTTTTGCACACAGCGTTGGTGTACGGTGCTATTTCAGGAATATTTTGATGTTTTTTTTTCCTGGATTTTCTGTTTGCACAGTCACATAATCACTTTAAGATGTTTTCTTGTTCATGTTTTTGTTTGTTGCAGTTGCACCCGATTCAAGAGCCGAATGGCTCACAGGGCTATACCAAATAAATGAACTATGAACTATGAGGTACTAATAGGCAGTGCCAGCGAATGGACTGCGGTCTGAAAGTCACCGTAAAATACAATCAATCAAGAACCGAAATGGTTTATGACGTCTTTCCAATGGTTACTAAGCCAGAATCCATCTTCTCGCTTGAAATTGTCTCTGTGTTTGTATATGTGGATAGCCTCATGAACGAATCTCTCATGATAGCCGGATGGCTTGCAGAGAACCTCCGTCTTGGAGAAGTCAATGTCATGTTGGGCCACTGAATTATAACAGTGATCTGCCACGGCTGAGGTGTTCGTCCTACCGTGTTTCAAGTCTGCTTTATGTTCACGGATGCGGCCCGAGATTTGTCGTTTGGTTTCTCCAATGTAGCTGCTACCACAGAGGCAACTTCGTTTGTAGACGCCCGGGTACTGTATGTCTGGAACTACATCTATACAGACGGAACCAGATCACGGATTTCCAGACATACTTTACCGAAAGAACCCAGAAGCTGTTATCATAGTTCAACAGTTCTTATGATATCCTTAATTTAACGTTATTTAATATTTTGTATGACATGATAGGGATATGTAAATTAGGTAAATTATTTCTAGTTGCAGACTTAAAAAATATTTGGTGATACTGCATTGGCAGTGGTGCACAACCAAAGTTAACAAACAACTCGTCACACTTGTCAATAATACTGAGGTCCTACAAGTATTAAGATTTAAAGTTTTCGTGACTGCAGCGATCCATACTCTTTGGTTCTTTTGGGAAAGTCACGTAGGTATAAAATAAATTAAATCACGACGTTTCGATTGCAACACAAGCAATCATCAGGTGGGAAAACCACAGCAAGAAAAAAATATAGCTGTGGCTTTCCCACCTTATGATGATTGCTTGTGTTGCAATCGAAACGTGATTTATTTTATTTTATACCTATGTGACTTTACCGAAAGAACCAAAGAGTAAGTATTTAAGAGGTGATGTTTCGAATAATGGCCCTTTTTTATAGCACAGAGAGGCCAGTTCCTACCTCTCTGGCCCCTGTTTTTGTGCTAATGCTTATGTCCGCTATTCGAGCAGGCAGCTGCTTAGCTTGCTGATGGTTTTGCAGTTTTCAGAACCCATCTTAGTTGTGGGAGATAGACAACATGGTATTTTATGAAAGTGGGGATCTTGTATTTTAGGGCCCCTAGTCCTGCTAATCTTGGTTGTGGCTCAGCCCTGGCTCAGCTTGGGCTTGGCTCTGGCTTGAGTGAGCTAGCTAAAAGCAATGAGCCAGAGCTGAAGACTGATTTCCTCACCAAGGCCATCATAACAATGTAATCACTGTGCTTTACTTGGTTTGAACCGGCTCTGAGCATGGTCCCAGCTCTAATTCCCAAGACCATAAGCTTCTTGTGTGTTACCGTGTTTTCCCCCTGTGTCCCAACCATGCTCAGGATTTATATGAGCTGAGCCATGGCTGAACCACTCATTTAGTCTTTGAAAACAATTTGAGTGGCTCAAGCTATTTTAGAGCTCAGCCGGGCCACGTATAACAATGCAGGCCTGAGTACATGCAGTACAACTACAAAAGTCAGATGGTGACCTACAAATACTGGCAGATGAGTGACAACCACCCACCGTCTTGTCAGCCACTAACCAATGCGCCACAGTGTGCATTCTGTGGAAAACCCTTTATTAATGCTAACTTCGTTATTCTCTCCCATCTCCCGCAGCACTGCCATTTCCACGTTTAAGGACTTTGAGCTAGCCTCCACGCAGCAGCGGCCGGACAATGTGCTGCGCCATCGCAGGGCTGCGGCGTCACCTGCGGGGGGAGCGGAGGGGGGGGGCACGGGCCCCGTGGCCGACGTTGTCCAGGGCCCGAGTCGCATGCTCAAGCTGGCCGTGTGGGGTCTCACAGCCACGCTGGGTGCTGCCGCCATCGCCGCGGTGAACACCGCGCTGGAGTGGGTCCCGGAATTTGTGCTGCGGCTCTTCCCATGACCCGCGACTTGAAGCACGTCGTGCCAGATCCGATCCGTTTTATGATTGGACGTTTACGACGAATGTGGTTGTATTTGGAAATGAGGCAGGTCACTGGCATCAAGTCTGTCGGCGGCACCACTGGTAATTGGATAATGCGCAGAGCGACTCATGAGCTGGAGCATTTACAATAGGATTCACCTGTGGAATGCAGACTTGGAGAATGATGCTGATAACGGTGCTTCATCACCACACCCTGAACCACGACTTTCAGAATCAGAATTTTGATTTATACTGGAGGAATGCAATGACCTATGAAGCTCTTTTTTCACTTGGCAGCAAGATGAAAATGCTGAACTGAGTGTATAAAGCCAGTCTTGGATTAGTCACCTTTGTCTTAAGACATTCCCCTTCTTGATGCAGACTATGTTTTGGATAACGTAGTCTCATCACTCAAATATAAAAGTTCATATTAAAGGGAAAAAAATATCTAATTCCTTCCCGTCTTGAATGTATTCCATGTATACTGTAAGTCTTTTACATTATCTATCCATGGTTTGAAGGATGCCTTTTTTATGAAGGAACTCATCCAGCTATCATTTTATAAATGATCCAATGGATCGTGCCTCTTTAAGTTGCAGTGGCTAGTACGCTGCTCATTGCCCTCAAGCCAATTCTTTATTAAAGTAATTATCTTCTAAAGGATAGATTTTATTCTCACATGGTCTCTTTTTTCCCACTCAATAAATGGCACGTGCATCCCCTCGTGCTTTTACAAATCATTCCGTTGTAAAGCGAGTGCACTTGATGGCGCGTTTTGAGAATATTCTAAAGTAGAGAATTCTGCATGCACAGCACAAGGGCAATTCCAATTTAAAAAACTAATGAAATGCTGTACTGTGCAGTAACTGCTAAAATCTTTGAGGAATTGTTTTTAATGTAGCCACCACCTTAGATTGCCATCTTTAGCCTTTGGATAACAAGTTCCTGGATTACTGCAGACAGTTCTTAGAAATAGTTTGCTGCGGCATGTATACTTATTATGGCCAACGGGCATTTTTCACAAATGTGATGCCTCTTGTTCTTTCACATCCACTCATCTGCACTCTGCTATGGCAACTCTGAAATGGGCAGGAGGGTGGTGGCGCATTGGTAACACTCATGCCTCACAGCAATGGCTCGGGATTTGATTCCCTACTCGGGTGCCTTGCCATATGGCGTTTGTTCTCCCCCTATTCTGCATGGGTTTCCTCCCATAGCTATAATTACATACAATGTAACTAGGTTGCCCAAACATCTCAATGCTGGAAAATACCTGAAAATTGATCGATTGGAATTGCACATAGCATTATCGCCTCCTACTGTGAAAACTTGGCAGGACTCTCATGAAAACGTCTTGAGACCCAAGCTCTCCTGGGTAAAAAAGTGAAGAATAACTTTCATCAGGAACAATCTGCGTTGTGTGTGCGGTGGATAGCACTGCATTGGGTATTATCTTTTAAAGTTTGTCTTGGTGGAATTCACCGAGTGTCAGGAGGGTTTTGCATTGAGATCCTTGTCCAGCATGACTAATGGCTTCATTTTATATGTCGGCTATCATGACCAATGATTCATAAATATATTTTACGTGTTCAGTCGTGTAGGTATGATGGCAGAGCAACAACGTCTCGGTGGCTGTGTCGGGTGGAGGAGGGCTATAGCTCTAATTAATATACCGACACGACCTAACCCAAAAAAACATGCGTGAATCATGACTATTTGGAAGGGAGGCTGAGTTCCTACTAAAGATCCCCGTGTTTGAGGGGTGTTGAACTTTTCATTTGAATCCCTGTGATGCAAATGTGTTAAAATGCATAATTATTTTTTCCCCATGATTTAACATATAATTTGGGTGCAAATATACTTATAAATTATTTTATTAAGAATTACATATTTTAAAGCACCAGTCAAAACATTGCAACATATATACCAAAAACGTCAGACTTTAATAACAGGATCCTGTTCTGGTAACTTAAAATCAGCGTTAAAAAGGGTGTAAAATAAAGTGGAGAATGTAAACCTGTTTGTATTTTTATTATTACATTCTTAAAACAAAGTTGACTGGTCCTAAATCCATTTCATATGTTGATGTAAAATAAATATTTACTACACTCAGTTTCTCAGACTTTGTTCCAGAACAAGATTAATAACTTCCCCATGTCCTTTTTTAATTGCAAGGAATGTAATGTTTATTCATGTGCATGGTTTACCTAAATACAAACTAAACGAGATTATTTACCACGTAAAGCCCACGAAACTATTAGCTCTTTTTCAGAGGCGACCTGGCCACGCAATGATAGCTCATCAGCTTTGAAGCACTTTTTCATAGAAACTTTGAAGTTCATTTGGACACGTCCAATCGGGATGGGTCAGAAAGTGACAATACAAAAAAAACGATTGGAGTGCAAAGTATAGGAAAGGTAAACAAATTACTAAAGGAAAATTTACTGAAACTAAACAAATTAGATTTTACCAGCGAAGCTCCACTGAGCTATTAGTTATTTTTCAGAAGTGACCCAGCCAGAAATATTAGCTAGACGAAGTGCTTTGTGGAAATTTATAGCAGCCAAATGAGGCAGTTGTGGTGCCACGGCAGTGGAGCAACTCGGCCGGCGCTGCTCTCTCCTCACACCCCTCCACACGAACGCACGCTCACCCCCACTAAACACATGCACCCCCGTAGGGTCTCGAGGGGTTTGGTCAGCTAGTACGATGGATTTTTACCCGAGGACCCCCGTAGCAGGGATGTTCCACGGTTTCCCCGAACCAGATTGGCCGAACCCCCCCCCCCCAGCCGGATTACATGGCGGCCCCCCTAAAAGGGGGCATAGAGCTTTACAGGCCGGCCGCTATGGAGCATACACGACACGGGGGTTTTCCCCAAGGCAGACGCCCTATGGACAGCGTAAACAGTGAGGCGGGGGGGGGGGAATCCCCGCGGGCGCCCCGAGTGTGTATTCGGCGAGCAGACGTCCAGAGTAAACCGGTGAGTCAGCGATAAGGAATGTGGATGCGAGGACAATGGAAGGGGGGGAGGGTAGTGCCCCCCCCACCCGTAACGGCCAGAGCGCTCAAAAACGGCCGCAAAAAGCATTCGATTGGACGCGCAGGATGACATCATGTCACCCGGGAATTAACGGGCTTTGAGAACATGAGAGGGGAAGGAGGGCAAATTTGGTGGAGAGTTCTTCTGGAGTTGTGGCGTAGACCAGCCGCCCTCGGCGTCCGAGTGACGCTTGCTGGGTGCAGCTGCAAACGCTCGCACAGGCAATGTCTTCGCGGCCAGCATCCTCCCCAGCTCCCACCGTGTCCGCGTTGACGCCGTGAGAGTGCCTGTGAGGTGACGTGAACGTTCGGTTGGCCGATTCAGCCCAGCTCGCAGTCAGCCCTAGCTTGACGATAGTCGCACATTGCAAAGGGTAGGTGATAAGAGGTTAGGCGCTGTCCGGAGGGTGCTATCTGGAGGGGGGCATAAGCAAGGGTTCGCTATTCACGCCGGGAATAAAACCCTGGTGCAAGATTGTTGGTTGACGCGTTGTGCGTGTGTGTGAAAAGGGGTAAAGAGCGGTGGGGCATCGATTGGCGCACTGCCGTGTGTGGGTGACTCCAATCAGTGTGTGTACGACGCGCGCGCATATAAAAATATATAAATAGATACACGTTCGCCCGTGCCGCGAGTGTATCGCAGAGATAAATCAGTGAGTGTATAGTCCGCGAGCGCAGATTCATTAATTAATTACAATCCGGCACGGAGCTCTGTAGCCGCGCGTCGTGTTGACACAACGGCTTAGTAGATTAATTAATTCGTAGCAATGGTGGCGAGTTAACCAATAACCACGCCGCGTTGACACCACGGCTTGGAGTCTTGCAGCAAAGAGCGCAGATTAATGAATTAATTTCGAACAGCGGGGGACCGGGCGAATTAAACAATATTGCGTAATCAGCGCGGTTCGCGAGTGCAGACGGACGTGTTGTGGGGGGCGCTCTCGTAATAAACTCCTAGGCGGTGCCTGCAAGTCGCTAGCCATGTCCCTCAGAGAGGATGCTGGTGCGGGGGGGGGCGGTCACCCGATTGACGGGGGCATGGGGGGCCCAGCGAGGAGGGGGCCGGGGTGGAGGGGGCGGACGTTTGCGCCCCGCCGCTTGCGGGGAGTGGGGAGGGGGGCATCAGCCCCTACACAGTCTTCGACTTACAAACAACCGACTTCACACCCGCAATTACAAATCAGCTTACGTTAAATATATATTTTTTATATTGACTTAGAACGCGAACTCGCATTTGCAAACCTAACCGTGGAACTATTGTGTTAATCGGAGCGATCCTCCGCGAGATGTCATGAGTTGACTTGCGCTGGGAGTGTGTGCGTGCGCCACACGTGTGTGGGAAAGTGAGTGTGTGAGGAGGCTGTGGTTGCCACAACAGCGAAGCCGTTCCGTCGAAACCGGAGCCGTCGCTGTTGCTGCTACGACCGAGAAGCCACCCGGCTCCCGTCACAGCACTTCCCCCGCCACCCCCCACATAAACACACACTCAAGTAGGGCCTCATGGGGAAGGGGGGGGGGGGCCACCTGCCCTGAGTTTTTACCCGAGAGGCCCCCTCGTGGGGGTGCTCCACGGTTTCTCAGGGTCAGATCCCGTGACAATGCATGCCTGTGTAGAGGAGTAGAATGGGGAAGTGGTGTCACTTGTGCTGTCCAGGGCGATGACGTGACGTCATGCGCTCGGGGCAGCAGAGTGACGTCACGGCTCCTCAAGGATAAAAAGGGGACCCGTGACGTAAGCGGGGTCGTAGCTGGAGAGTAGGGTCTGAGAAGGGTGGAACGGGAGCCAGGGGCAAGAGGGTAGGGATAGGGGAGAGTACAGTGCCAGGCTAGACGTGGCTGTGCTCCTCGGTCGGCCCGTGTTTGTTGATCCCACGGCCGGGGCAGAGGAGACAGCACAGGGCAGCCGGCTGTGTCGGGACCTAGCCCGGGGCCCCTAACCCCTGGGGAGTTGTTCACAGCCCTGTGTATTGTTAAAGATTTGTAATAAAGCCTTGGCGGAAGCCCTTACCTTACCTTAGCCTCCGAGTGAGTCGTCGGGAACTCCTTCACAACTGGTGTCAGGAGTGGTTACGCTGCCGTCGCTATGCCTAAATTGGGCGGGCGGCGTAAGAATCCACCGGCGGGACGCCGGGAGAGTGCTGACGACGTCGGGGAGGCTCCGGCTGCGACCCGGGGGCAGTCCGTCACCGTGGAGATGGACTCGGCGGGGCAGGTGGTGTCGGCGGCTGGGGGTCCCAGCGCACCACCGCCCGTGGTGGGGGGCGATGCCGAGGAGCAGCTGCTCCTGCGGGCGATCGAGCAGCTCACCGCCGCCCTTACAGAGGTGGGAGCGCGGACGCACCCACCCGGCCCGCACTCCGCGTGGCACCGGCGGATTCCTGCCGTTTTGCCGCCCGCCAATTTGGAAGTTGGCGCCATTTTTCATGCGCCGCCGGAGGTGGCGGCCATGTTGGGGGGGAGCCGCAAGCGGACGTAATTTCCGCTGCGACGCCGCGCGGAAGCGGCAGCCATTGTTGCGGCCATGGCTGCCGCGGATGCGGCTGCGGATGCCGCCGCAGATTCGCACCTCGCCGTGGCTGCGAGCTTGGCCGCGGAGGCTGCCGCGGATGTCGCTGCTGCAGATGTCGCTGCCGCGGCTCCGCGCCTCGCCGTGGCTGCGAGCTTGGCCGCGGAGGCTGCTGCGGATGTCGCTGCCGTGGATGTCGCTGCCGCAGATGTCGCTGCCGCGGCTCCGCGCCTCGCCGTGGCTGCGAGCTTGGCCGCGGAGGCTGCCGCGGATGTCGCTGCCGCGGATTCGCACCTCGCCGTGGCTGCGCGCTTGGCCGCGGAGGCTGCCGCGAATGTCGCTGCCGCGGATGTCGCTGCCGCGGCTCCGCACCTTGCCGTACCGGCGAGCCGGGCCGCGGATTCCGCCGCAATTGCGGGGTGGCTCGCGGGCGCCACTGCGGCTCCTCATCTCGCCGCGTCTGCGGCGTGGCCTGCCGGGACCGCAACGCCGCCGCACCACGCCACGTTGGCGGGATGGGCCGCGGATCCATATGCCGCCGCATTTGCGAGGTGGCTCGCAGGCGCTGCTGTGCCTCCTCACCTTGCCGCGTCTGCGGCGTGGCCCACGGAGGCCGCAGCGCCGCCGGCCCTCGTCGCATCGCGGGAGGTTGCTGTGGCTGCGGCCGCATATCGATCCGTCGCCGCGCCTGCGGGGTGGCCCGCAGGGGCCACCGCGGGGCCGTGTTATACC